CGAACCGCTGCGCTCTCCGCGGGACTCTCCGCCTCTCTCTGGCTCAGCCCGGGCCACCGTGGGCTCGTTGATGGCTCCCGAACCGCTGCGCTCTCTGCGGGACTCTCCGCCTCTCTCTGGCTCAGCCCGGGCCACTATAGGCTCGATGGCTCCCGAACCGCTGCGCTTTCCGCGGGACTCTCCGCCTCTCTCTGGCTCAGCCCCGGCCACCGTGGGCTCATCTGTGTCTTCCCAGCTGCAGAGCTTGAGCACAATCTCGAGCCGCGAACTCGAGCGGGCGAGGTCAGTCTCCGGGTCCATGCAGACCACATCCAGGCTTCCCTGGAGGACCCTGCTGAAAGTCTTGGGATGCTTCAGGCTGTCGATCCCCAGGATGCGCCAAAAAACCCAGCTGCTGGTTGCCTGTGACCCTCTAGCCTTGGAGACGAAGCAGCAGCCATCACGCAGGAAACGATTCGAACCGGAGAAGTCGGTGTGGGGCGAGCCAGAGTCCCTCTCCAAGGTCAGACCGGCTGTGGGGCGAGAGGGCAGGACGCTCAGGCGGGCGGGGCACCTGCAGCAGTGGTGAACCCCTGGGTCCACTCCCTGGGCTGCAGCCCGTGGGGGACCTGAGGACTCTTCCACGGGGAGGATTCTCTTTTTTTGAGACAGTCTCACTGTCGCCCTGGATAGAGTGCCCTGGAGTCACAGCTCACAGCAACCTCCAACTCTTGGGCTTAAGCAATTCTCTTGCCTCAGCCTCCCAAGTAGCTGGGACAACAGCGCGGGCATTCTTGTTCCGAAGCGTGTAACCTGACCCAACCCAGACCCCACGGCTCTGCCCAGCTACCCACAGGAGGCTCCTAAATGCAGGTTGGCAAAGGAGTTCCCCCACCTGCCAGTCCCTGAAACAGAGTCAGGCGGAGAAGGAACAGAAAACTTAGAATACTAAAAGTCAATGAATCAGTATGAATCTAACAATGCAACCGTGTGTTCCCATCGATGTTTGGGAGACATTTTACATGGATAAAGGATGGTGGCAGGAAATCACCTGTGAACCCAGAGAATGCCTGGGGAATGAAAAAGAGAACATTTCCAAACCACAGTCTTGACTGAGGCTTTAAAATCAGAGCAGAGAATGTAACATAAGAGAGAGTGGGCAGGCGGAGGAGGAGGGGCCCAGGAAGGTTGGCAGGAACATAACCCACAGCTGGCAAATGCCTGACTGGCAAGGCTGGGAGCAGCAGGAAAGGCTGCGATTGGATGAGAGCAGAGTCAGAGACCCAGCTTCTCCAGCTGTCAAAAGACCCTGGTAGGTCAGAGTCAGGGGCAGGAGTTGTCAATCAGCTGACAGCTCCCCTGGCCCAAGGGGAGTCCTGGGGTCTCCCTGGGGAAGGCTGTGTTTCAATGCTTTGCTATGCTGCCTTTTTTCCCCCCTGTGTTTCTAATTGTGATATTTATACTGATTTTTCAGTAAAATTAAAGAAGAGCACAGGAATTATATTTTGTTTGTTTATATTCTCAGAAGAACATCCCCAAGGTTCAAATTCAATAGTTATAAAAGGCTTTTTTTTTTCTTTCCTTTGAGACAGTGTCTCATTAGGTCGTCCTGGGTAGAGTGCCATGGTGTCATCATAGCTTACAGCCTCAAACTTTTCGGCTCAAGCGATCCTCCTGCCTCAGCCACTCCAGTAACTGGGACTATAGGCACCTGCCACAATGTGCTAAGTTTTTCTATTTTTAGTAGAGATAGGTCTCCCTCTTGCTGGGGCTGGTTTCGAAATCCTGAACTCAAGCTCTACCCTCCTCAGCCTCCCAAAATGCTAGCATTCTAGGCATGAGCCATGGTACCCAGCTTTTTTTTTGTAAGAGGAAAATGTATATTTAATGTAAATTTTAAAAGGCATTAAATGTATGCTACAAATTCCAAAGAATAGATCAGATAAAATGCAATTTGGTTATATTGAAAGAGGAGATAAATTCAACAGATACTTTTATTATTACTATATATATATATATATATATATATATATATTAGGCAGAGTCTCTGTTGCCCTGGATAAAGTGCTATGGTGTCACAGCTCAAATTCTTGGGCTCAGGAGATCCTCTTGCCTCAGCCTCCAGAGTAGCTGGGAATACAGGCACCTGCCACTATGCCTGGCTATTTTTAGAGACAGAGGCTGGCTCTTGCTTAGGCTGGTCTCAAAATCTTGAGCTCAAGCAATCCACTTGCTTTGGCCTCCCAGAATGCTGGGATTATAGGCACGAACCACTGACCCTGGTGTTTGAATTTTGGGGAGATATTTCCCACCACTTGTTTTATTTTTACATAAGTAGAAGTATATCTTATACCCCTTCCCATCTTTTAAATTTTTTTTACTTAGTGTATTTTATTTTATTTATTTTTTAAGACAGAATGTTACTATGTTGCCCTCTGTAGAGTGCTGCAGCTTCATAGCTCACAGCAACCTCAAACTCTTGGGCTTAAGCGATTCTCTTGCCTCAGCCTCCCAAGTAGCTGGGACTACAGGCACCCACCACAATACCCAGCT